CTGAGCTTCAGGGCAAACTACAGCTCCATCCAGGTTCGGGACGGAAGGGGAGAGAGGGAGAGAGACAGAAAAAAAGAGACAGAGAGAGAGGAGGGGGTGGGAGGGAAGGGAAGGGAAAGATGGAGAGAAGAAATGAGAGAGAGGAGATGAGATGAGACAGGAGAGAAGAGGAAGGAAAGGTGAGATGTGGCCCTCAACAGGTCCCCAAAACTCATTAAGTGGCCCTCCAGTCAAAGTAATTGCTCACCCCTGAGCAAGTGTAATAACCCAAGGAAACAATCCAAAAATAAACACATCTTTGCTTCTTTTCATTCACCAGAGCAAATGTCACACATGTCCATTTTCATTAGGCAGGCAATTAGAGTCGTCAAGTAGGTATCTAATTGTAGCAAGGTTGAAACTGCCTCTGTGTGAACCAGCTCACAATTTATCCTCCTTGAGAGAGGGCATATTTTCCTATTTGGCAGCACTGATCCAGTTATCTGTGTAGGCAAACGATGCCTATTTCCACTATAAAGCTATTCATTTTCCAGCTACTCTTATGGACCCTTCACTGTAACCCTTTTCTAGATGGCTTGAGCAAATTTGAAATGAGTACAGGAAAAAGGGGCTATGACATTTCTTCATTTTCTCACACCATGTTGCAGGGATTTCAGTGCTGTTGCTGGAACTAGAGCATGATCCAGATGTTTTATGAGCATTTGGTGAGCCAGCAATAGAAAGTTGATCTCATCTCCTCGTCTTGACTGGAAACTGCAAGACCTTATTGTCCCGCTCCTCGTTGTCACTTGTAATCTTGAGCAAGAGTCGTAAATTCAGTTTTGTCTAAGAGTCATCTGAAGTGATTACAGATAAATCTTGGAAGAGTATTGTTCAGTTCTGAAGAGGGGTGTTGAAGCAAGTGAATCCAAGCTAGTCTGTCAGAGTTGGCTCATTGCTTGATTTGGTTTATCCAGTGCCTGGTGCTCTTCTAGCGCATTTTTCCTAGAGATGCAGTTCCCTGTGGTGTTGAATCTATCTGTTGGAGACGTCAGAAAATCCAGTGAGGCTCTCAGTAAAGAAGTCACCAAGTCTTACCTTTCATTTTGACCCCGGTGGTACCCAATAGCTACTTCTTCTAAGGAAGCCAGAGGCCCGTGACATCATGCTGGAGCTTAAATGTTCTTGCTTAGGCCCGTGTGGCCCTTGTGAACCTGTTAAATTTCTACACCCATACATTTAACAGGAATCAAAGCAATGGCACAAATTCTGTGGCCCGTCCCTGCTTGCCGCAGTGACTGTGTAGCATACACAATATCTGTTCGCCCCACGTGAGGGACATGGGCGGCCGAATGGAAGGGCAGAGCATCCTGTAAAATACTATACTCTGAAGACCTTGACCTAACATTTGAACTAAAAATCAAACAATATCATAAGCTTCATTTTAAAAGGAAAGCAACCAAACCCCAACTTTCTAACATCTTGTCAGGCTCCTCTGCAAGTCTGTTTGGGAGCAGTGGGAGAGGCTGTTCTCTTAGTTGGGCATGGGAAATCTGAGTCTCTTCTTATCGTGGGGTTTCCATGCTATTTTTGCAAGCTTAGAAACTTCAAAAATGCTTTTCTCATCTGAATGTGTAAGGCACCTAGAGCTCTGCCTTTCTCTAGGAAAAAAGGTTTGGTTGGGCCATTCCATCTGGAGCGTAAGGGGCACCAGTTTTGTTTCTCCATCCATCCCCACTCCTGTGATGGGAGATACAAGGATAGGCCTGGTCGTTTGCTGACTCGGCGGGTTGCTGGTGGAGCACAAGCACAACCTTCTTTTGCCTTTTATTTATTTGCTCATTCTGCCTCGTTGAGCCTGCGTTAATGTTACGTTTGGTGTTTCCAGCATTCTTTGTACTTAGCACATTTTACAGCTCCCTGGGCAAGGCACCTTCCCACGCAGCTTATTTGATGCTATTTAGATGGAATTGTTGAGCCTCCAGTCTGTGTTTGTTTCATTAAAATTTGGTTTGTACTTTTCCATCTGGCTGCCTAATGGAAACAGTGTCCAGAAGTGGTAATTTAGTCGCTTTCCATACACATCTCTCTCCCTCTCTCCTTTTTTTTTTTTTTTTTTTTTAATGTTAATTGAATTACGAGACACTGGTTACTTAAGCAAACAAAATGGCCATAGGCATGCTTCACAGGGTTGGTTAAATCCAATTAAACAAACATAATAAACACTTTACAGTAATTGCAAATGTAAATGGTGCATCGGCCTCTGTCACCCTTGAGGGAAAGGTCATCTGGGAATGCAAGTTCAGGGCTTCCCAATGCACCACCCCGTCTGTATCCTTTGCAGGTTCATTCCTTCTTCTGTCTATCCACAGATCACGAAGGCCCCTGCACACTTTTATTTAAGTGTGTCTTGAGATCCGACCTGGATCCCAACAATCATGCCTCCTACTATGCCACGCATGTGGAGCAGGCATGGGGTTTAAAGTCACCAGCAGGGGAAGCTCTTCAGTTCCCTCTGCTGGGAGCTTCTGACCCCTGTGCCCAACAGCCAAGGGAGCTGTGTGAGGTGGGGGAAATTGGGTACAGAGAGTACATGAAAGAGGAGTTCCTTGGCTCCCCTTGCCAGTGGTCTACATGGCAGCCCTGGGCCCATTTGGAGAATTGGGGCTGCCCTGGGGGCTGGTGCTGACAACCAGCTGAGTGTTGACACCGACCCTGGGGCAGCCCCAGGCATGCCACATGTTCAATTTAAGGTGCCAAACAAACCAACCATAAAAAATGTTCTACATTATATGTGGAACATTTTTATGGCTGGTTTGCCATGTTTTTGGACCTTAAATTAGTTGTGGCATAAATGTAATGTATAGGGGGGCCCAAAGGTCTTTGGTAGCATTTAATATATCACAGCAAAGCCAATGGCCTCCCACGAAGATGGTACATAGAAGTCATCTTCCTTTATGGAAGGGGTAGTCAAGGCAGACAGATTTGGGGAATTGCCCAAGGTCACCTCTTGTCATTAACAGGTTGGGAGTGGAGCTCATATGTCCAGGTTCCCAGCCTTGAGTGATACCACAGGAGCAAGCTCCCTGCTTTCCACTCTGAATTTCATGTTGAAAACATATAGGGGAGACACCTGTTCTGTCAAATGGTCTTCCTATGAAGAAAACAGAGAGAGCAACATGGCACATATTGCTAATGTCAGACAGGAACTGCTAAGACCTGGGCAGCAGCAAAAGGATTAAAAATGATGGTTTCTTTATACCCTGCACTTTGTGATTCTGGCTGTCTGCAGTGCTTGGGCAGGCGCTCGGTTGTCTGGTACAAGGATTAGATCCCACCCTGGACGGTCTTATGGGGAAGTGATCTATGCAGGGTGACTCAGTGCCAGTGCAGCATGATTTGACTTTCCATGAGGGTAGATGGATTTTGCTATCTCATTTTTGCTATGCCATTGTTTGCTGTGCCTGGATAAGCAGCCTTCCACAAGGGTTCCCCTCTCAAAGCGCAGTGGCCTCATCGTCCTTTCCACCACGTTTCCTGCCACCTGTGATTCTGATGGGAAGCTCAGGGACGACTCTTAGTATTCAGTGGGGAGGGGGTATGGATTGGATCGAGCAGACTTTAACTTGTCCCCTTTTAATAGGGCTGGTTTGCAAGCAGACAGGTGGTGCTGTTCTGCACTACACCCCCTCGCTAGCATTTGTCCATACCCAAGGCTGACAGTCCTTCGGAGTAGGGACTCACCTCTAAAATATGCTTGTACAGTTCCCAGTGGGCTCTGGCTTGGGTTTAGGCCACCACAATGCAAATGATGATAAAAATGCCTCTGCAGTTCATAGGAGACTGTAACAGGGGGCCTTCTCGGGTCCAATTTCCCTGTGGCCCACCCACCTGTTTCTGGGCTAACCGCCTGCCTTCTCGCCTGCCATGCCTTGATGATAATTAATTAATTGATGTTAATTAAGTTGGAGGCTGCCCATTTCCTGCCCCGATGCCAGGGGGTGCTATCTGCGGCTCCGTACCTCCCCTACACCACACCCCATGCCTTGCAGATGGCATCCAGATGTTACCGACATCACCAGCCCCACTCTGGGCCCCAGAATCCTACTGTTTGAACCCTACCTGGATGCCTCCATTGAGGCAGCCTACTCCACCTTCATTCTAGGCTCCCTGAGCTGCTCCCCCTTGCAGGTGTGGTCCCCCCAGGACCTTTGGCTCTACTGGCACTGGCCCACCTCCAGGCCAGTCAGAACCCCAGGCCCTCAGCTCTGGGCATCTCTCACGGTGGGCCCCTGGCCCTTCAACCTTTCTGGTCCTGGCCCTAGCATTTACCAGTCGGGGGATGTCAAGACAGGTTTCTTGAGTCTATGGCCCCACTCTCTCACTGGGGTCCACCTTCGAAACCCTACAAGGGGGCAACCCACCCGGTTGTGAGAGTGGGAGATAAGGCACCCCAACCCACCTTTCACCAAGGTGGTAACTGGCCTGGCATTTCCTGGCGGCTCCTGCACCACTGAGAGCCCCACCAGGCCACCCATTCCCAGCAGGGTATAGTTTTAGGTCGTGCCCAGGACCAGGAGCCTCCTGACCATCCCCTACAGCTCTTCCCTTACCTCCAGGGTGTTCCACAAAGCCTCACAGCCAAATGATGTTGCTACACCCCCAACCAGCTGCAAAAATGCCCTGCTTATATAGGCAGCCCTGAATCTAAAATGGCCGCCTTAATCAGGCACCTGCTGGCTGCTTGGCTTCAGTCCTTAAAGTGGCAGGCACAAACAGTGCCCTGCCACACACACTTTTGTTTCTCTAACAGCCTGACCAAAATCTTGAAATCAAATGTTCTTGGATTACGGAGAAATTTAGGACTTGGTTGCTGAGTGTGCGTATAGTCTTGAGACCCGCTCATGAATTAAAATGCTTTGACGGTGATCCAGGTGTTTCATTGCATGTCCTGATCTAGGTGGATCTGGGGTTCTCCAGCCCTGCAACTCGCTTATATTTTTTCCTTCATCTCTTTTCAGAGCTCCCTTCATCAGAGCACCTGAGCGTGGCAGATGCTACCTGGCTGGCCCTCAACGTGGTTTCTGGAGGAGGAAGCTTCTCTAGCTCCCAGCCCATTGGTGTGACTAAGATTGCCAAGTCAGTCATAGCGCCGCTGGCTGACCAAAACATCTCAGTGTTTATGCTCTCCACCTATCAGACAGACTTCATCCTGGTAAGAGGAAATAAGGTGACGAGAGCAGCTTGTGCATCTATACCCCAACAGAGGAGAGTTTTGTGGGGCAAAGTTGTAACTACACCATGAAGAAAGCAATAGCGTTGCTGGCATGCAGTGATTGAAACACATTTTTTTCGCCCTGATCCAATCGCCCCTGAAGTCAGTTGGAGTCTTTGTGATGACTCTAAGCCTGTTGGAGGCAGGCGGGTTGGTAACTGGACCGAGACTATCAAACTTACTCACCAAGCCCCCATCAAGGTGGTAACTGCCCCTGGGCATCTGTCACTGCAAGCTTAAATGACAGGCATGTTTTCCTGTATCCCGTAACAACACACAACGTCCCCATGATCTCATCTGTTGTCCAGTGCAGGCTCTGCAGGGAACGCGTTGTCACAAGTGATTTCTGTCCTCGTTCTCAGGTACGCGAGCGAGACCTGCCCTTCGTGATGCACACGTTGGCCACCGAGTTCACCATCCTCAGGGTAGTGAATGGGGAGACGGTGGCTGCCGACAACCTCGGGATAACGAACGGATTTGTCAAGCCAAAATTGGGTGAGGACCTGCATTGGCCATCCCTGCTCGGTACTGTGTTAGGGAAACAACAGTCTCTGTGGTTACAGTAGAGTGGAGGACCAGGGGGAGGGGAGGGTGCGTCATAACTCTAGTCCTCAAACTTTTTGTTGAACAATCACTCTGTGTCGTCCGTGTAAGCCCTTTTTCAGCCCCTGATTGAGTCTACCTCTCTTTGGAGAAGCGCATAAGCAGATGCTGTTAACGTCAGTGAGAACTGAGTGTGCTTTGCTGAACTGGGCCTTGGCACTCAGGAGCCTGTAGTGCAACACGGCTTTTCTTCTACCTGTAGATATCAAGAGACACAGAATTAGTAAGACAAAAAACCAGAAAGACCCTTGGGGAAGAGTAGAGCCGTGGTGTTGGACTCACATTTCTAGCATAAACGACGCATTTCTCATCTCTGGTTCCAATGCTAATGCATTTCTAAGTTTACATGAATACTTCCTGGGGACTGCAGTGACTGGCCCATGAAAAATATCACTGTTATTTAATATTTGTGTTTTAGCAAGCTGGGTCGAGGCCACATTGTGCTTGATGCTGTATAAATCCTAATAAAGATGATCCTGACTTTTCCAGTATACCCCGTCTAATACACTGCACGCCTTCATGTCTTATTCAGGGTGAAGCCACACTCACTCAGCGTGGCAGTCTGTCCTCTATTAATGGTGGGGCAGGGGTGCAGGAGGCTGTTCAGCACATCTCAGCGTGGGCCAGCCAGCACAAGAGGGATCATTTGAGTAGGAGTGGCTGTGGTGATGGCGGGTGTTATTTCCAGTGTGCCTGTTACCGTAGCGTGTAGGCACTATGTGCCAATTTAGAAGAGGAATAGTCAAGTCCCAGAGGCTCTTTTCCTTCTCCCACTCAGTGGCTTCCTAAAGAAAACTAGCCAGGACTTCTCTGCTATCCAGTTATTTGAGGAACCCTTCCTATCAAGAGTGGATGTCACTGGGCCTTAACAAGACAAATACTCAGGCCTAGCCTGATTTCTGCTTGAACCAAACTCCAAAGGAAAGAGCCTGTCCCCAAGAAAGTGCTGTCTTTCTCCAGTTGACCTTACGAAGGTGGTCACTCTGGTCTGTGGCTATTGGAGCTGCATGGATAAAAGAGTTATGCGGTGGCTTGTGAACCTGATACCAAATAGGCTTTACACTTGTGTGTCTCTTTCAGTTCAGAGGCCCGTCATTCATCCCCTTTCCAGTCCGAGTAACATGTTCTGTGTCACCAGCCTGGATCCAGATACCCTCCCCACTGTCGCGACGCTCCTAATGGATGTCATGTTCTACTCCAATGGGTATGTTAAAGCTGGCAAAGCAACGCACATTGCTGTTTTTGGGTCCAGCTCCATTTTAAGGATGCAAAAATGTGTCACTGTCTTCAAGACGAGACTCCAGGGCTGGGCTCATGCAGCATAATGCTGCTGGGCTGCTTCTGGGATGCATCCTTGGGCTGTCATCTTCAAAGCTGTGTTAGAGCAGTGGTTTTCAACCTGTGGTCTGCGGGCTCCTGGGTGCCTGTGAAAGATGACTATGATCAATCAAAAGTATGTGAATACCTACGCTTACAATTCAAAGGCGTCCGCACCTCTATTTAAAATGTTTTAGGGGGTCCGCAAGTGAAAAAAGGTTGAAAACCTCTGCGTTAGAGTTTAGGATACCCAATCCCCATTAACAGATGTCTGCTTCCTATTTAGCTGGCCTTGCAAAGTAATAATACAGCCTTTAAGCAGCAGCCTAGCAATGCCAGTTCCTGCCAGAAGATGGCATGGGCACATCGCAATACACTGGCATCACATTGCAACAAGTTTTGTAAGCCGGGCTTGGATGGCACTGGACCTCTGCAAGAGTGGGGCAAATCCAGGGAACAGCTAGACTTTGGGGAAAAACACTTTATCTCCAGACCAGCATGATGAAATAAAACCTTTTTCTGTGGCAGGAGCAAGGGCATTAGGCTGTATAAAATGCTTGCAAAAAACAAAAAGGAGAAAGCGCATAACTAGGTGGAACTCGGTCTCTCTCAGAAAAATGGGCACACCGAGTCATCTGGTTGCAATGGCTGTGTCCTCTCTGAAGGGTTGGGATGTCCATTATCCATTGGGCTGTGGGTAACTCTGTTGTGTTTTGTTTTTTCAGAGTAAAAGACTCAGTGGTGGGAAGCGAAGACTCTGGACACATTCGCTTTTTCTCCTTCTCTCTCATTGAGGGTTACATCTCCTTGGTGATGGATGTACAGACACAGCAGAGGTGAGGCTTCACGACTGGCTTCAGCATGGGGTGGGACCCCCAACAAATCACAAGTAAACTTTTCAGAAGTATCTCGGTCCCCATTTTCAAAAAAGACTTGAATGCTCCAGTCCTATTAAAAATCAGAGAGGCCTGGACTCCCAAGTGCCCGAGCCATCTGAGAGTGACCGTGGCGCTTATTGGCTAGGAACGTAAGAAAAGCTTACCCTTCAGTTTGGGAACAAGAAAATCTTGTGGGTAAATTCTCCAAAGAACGAGAGCAGAGAAGGGGCTTCACATCCGTGCAGCACTCGCTTGGTCTCCATTTCATTGGGACAGTAATGCGATGAATTGTGCCCAGTGCTGCAGGAGCTCACGACACTGTTTGACAGGCCCAGCAAATAGTCAAGCAGGAAAAATATTATTCTGAGCTTTTGTGTTCAACATTGTCTCACAGATCGGAGTGCACTTTTCTCTGAGGGGCTAGAGACCGTATGGGAAGTTGTGTCCAGGCGCATTTTGCGGCATGCAAAGTATTTGTTAACCATCTTAAGACCTGGTTTTGCAAGCTCCTTTAGCTGCCATTGACTAAGCAGCCCCTCTGGTTTGTGGGATCAAGCTCTGGGAAATGGGAAGGATGATCTAAATTGCAGTTAGGACTGATGGTCGGTTCCTTACTCAAGCTCAGGCTGCCTGAGTGACTTTGGACAAATCACTTAACTTGTCTGGGCCTCAGTTTCCCATCTGTAAAATGGGCATAATAATAGCATTGCCCAGCCTGACAGGGATGTTGTGAGAATAAACCAGTGGAAGGCTGTGAAGTGGTTGGATGCTGCTGCAACGGTAGCCATATAAACATCTAAGTCAAAGAGATAGGGGAAGCAGCTTTTCTCCCCCCTGTGGTTCGAAAGCATGAGTCTCATGGGGCCCATGAGCTGATAGATTTCTAGTTTCGCATCACCAAAACACAGGATCTTTCAGAAAGGCCCTTTCTGTCTTTCTTCCCGGCACAGCCCTAACTTGGCGTCCAAGTGTATATGCAGTGTTTTCAGTAGAAATACATAAGGGGAAAAGCCAGCCAAATCTGTGTTGGTCACCTCATTTCTGGTCATGTTCACTTCTTGCTGCGCCTCATCTGTTCCAAGCAGCATGGGGATGGAAGTGCCCAATGAGGCAGCAGGCAGTGGAGGTGTGACTATTTTTAATGGCATCCTTTCATAATTTTCTGTAGGTTTCCTAATAACTTGTTGTTTACAAGTGCATCTGGAGAGCTCTGGAAGATGGTTCGGATTGGCGGACAGCCCCTTGGCTTTGGTACGTAAGCAGCTGGAGAAGCAGCTGGGCACAAATGCAGTGATGTTCGCACCGCCTGGATAACGGGGAAGAATTGGGTTATCAGAGCCTGGGGTTTTTTTCTTTCTTTATTTTTTTTCTTTGAATGGTCTGGGTTTTCCCCAGTAAGAGTCTAATTCCAAGTAGATTCAGTTAGACCTCCCAAATGTAGGCTCAGCTCTTTGAAAATGTTGCACATCCCTCATTTCTTGTCAGCCTCCAGTGGGGTAGACCTAAGTTTCATGTCTAAGCTGATGTAGGGGTGACTCCACAGCGTCAGTGGCAGACTGACAGCAGCACGTGGAGCCGCAGAAATGGCCCTCCACGCCCTATCAGCTGCCCGCGTTGCCCTTGAGAGCTGCCAAAATGGCTTTTGCCAAGTGGATCGCGGAGGAGTGCTGCAGAGGAAAAGCCCAAGATTTTCTGCAAATGACTCGCTTTGAAAAATCAGACCCTATTACAGTGCCTTCAAAGTTTGGACTGCTCAAAAACAGGCACCCAGGATCAACAGTCACTTTTGAAAAAATTGGCCCCTTTCATTTCATTTTGGTACCTGGTCTCTAGCAGCAGCCAGGTCGGCAATAGTCCAGGACTGAGCAGAACTGGTTGTTCACAAAAGCCCCTGAGAGTTACATGCAGCCAAGTGAAGGCACATCCGTGATCTCACATGAGTACGGTGCACTGATTGCTGTGAAGACTGGTCCCAGTTTCGTTAACTGGTCAATACCAAGAGCCGTTCAACATCTTCTCCTTTATGGATGCAGGTCAACACATGATGAGGGAAGGAGGAAAATGGAGTGAAAGGCATCAAAAGAAGGTTTTGAAGCATTCTCGCATGCTTCTCATGAGTGACTTTTGTTAGGATTGTTGAAAATCGTCCTGGCCGTTGTTCTGTTTTTCGGTATTTACGTTGAGTGGTGAAGGGATGCAGGCGCGCTGGTGACAAACTGTTCTCTGTGTCCAGGGAAGAAAAGTTCGATTGGCTAATAGGAGAAATCCCTCGTGACGACGGTTGAGTACGGGAGCGAACTCCCTAGAAAGGCTGTGGCTTCTAATCACTGAAAGATTGGAAGTGAGGGTCAGACAAATGTTTGTCGCGAGTGGTTCATCCAGAGACGATCCTGCTGGAGTACATGAGCTCTGGAGGCCCACACATCCCTCTCTGTCCAGGCTCCTACATCACTAGTGCAGAAGGGGGCTGATTTTGCAGACCTTGCCTGCAGGAAAGCTCCCAGTTCCTTGTAGCGGGGAAAAAATGAGATGCTGCTATAGCCAGTTGCTGGGCATGAGCTTGCTTCTAGGATCCAAAGAGAAGGGCTTTGAGTTCTGACTTTGTCCCTGATGTAGAAGTGTTGCCGTCTGAGGAGCCCAAATGAATCGGTGCTTCTGGTCATTGCACAGAGCGCCGGGGTTGGCACCTCGGAGGGAAGTGCTCCTTGCTGGAATACGAGCAAGCCAAACCATTTCCTGCACGAACCTCGGCCATCGGCAGTGCAGAGCGCTGTCTGGAGTGCCGTCGGGCAAGGAGGTGCCGGTATGCTCCGGCAGAACATGAAGGGGAAAGGAGAGATCCAAGCAGCGCCTGCCCAAACCAGCCCAAGCAGGAAGGCTGCATTTAGCATTGCTTGGGAGCTCTGCTGAATGCCAGTGCTTGCTGCCTCCATGTAGGTCAAAGAGCCTTGGTGGTGGAAACTGAGGAGGTGCGCTGGCCGCTGTGCCACTTTCATCTTTAATTGTGCCTCGAGCAAGTCATCCTTTTGCTGCTTTAAGATGTTCCTTCTCAGAGGCCAGTTTTTGTCTCTCGGCTGCAAGCTGAGTTGTTAAACGGGCCATAAACGGTCAGGGAGCCAGTGGAGCGCATGCTGCTTTGTGCCTCCTGGGGCGTGCGGGGAAGGAAAGCTCCTTGTTTTTGGAAATGAACTGGTCAAGTCGCTTAATCAGGCAGCCACTTGAAGGCTAAAATAGAAGGGGAGAAGAAAATGATTAAAGCCCTCCCAGGCCAGTGGAAAGGGGGAGAAGGGCAGAAACCAGACTCCACTGCTGCAAGAACTACACCATGTTACTTAGTGCGTACAAGGCACGAAGTCGTGATCCTGCTGTAGGATGCTGAGGAGGTGCTTTGTCATGAAGCGGTCAACCACCAAAGCTCGTTCCCTAGTTCTTGTTTTTCTAGGGCATTGTAGACATGCGGAGGGGAAGCCGGGGGAAAGTGGTCCGTAGGTCACTGCCTCCAAACACTCGTGGCCTTGTTTTGTGATTTGTCTTTGGGGAGGCCAGACAGCAGGTGCCGGGGATGGCTGTGGCCGTGGTGTTGTGAGGGACTCTGTCGTGTCAACGCGCTTCTGAGGCTCCTGCTTTGATGCGATTGTCAAGCTGGCAGGGTCTGTAGAGGTGGCAGTCTGCATGGCTCCTGGTTCTCCTCCCCGTCTACTGTGGCTTGCTAAAAGCAACAGAAAGCAGGTTTTGCACATAAGTGGTGGCTGCCAATTGCCACACTTGTGTTACAGGATTACTAGTCGTGGAAAGGAGGCTGTATGGGAATAGCCAGATGGGATCGAGCAGCGGGCGATGGGCAGGAACAGGGATTTCCACAGGGCCCAGTGTTAACGTTGGGTCTGTACAGGTAGGAACGGCGAAGCCCCTGTGCCTGCCACACGAGGATGGGGTCATTGGCTTCTGAGAGCGTGTCCTGATAGCAAAGCTGCTCTCTGGCACCGACGTGTACATAAGTGTGTCCACAGAATAATTCAGCCTCCAACTTGAGATGCTTGTTATAGGAAGTAAATGAAATACAAACAGAAATGCCCCTGTTGCCTTAGGTGCTTCACCCAGACACTGATGGGACGCAGCCTCGTCTGCTTTGGATCCAAGATCTAGCCAAGGATTGATCTGGATTCTGAGGCCAGGTCAATAGACCCGAGGGGTTATTTGCAGAACTGGAAACTGCATCGACTCATCCTCAACATTTCTGATGCTTTTTCTTGCTCAACACGATGCCCGGGTGATGGCTGGAGGGGGTGTGAGCTGCTTCTGTGCTGGTGCTGAAAGCTAGGTAGTGCTAGGTCCGCCTCGCTGTCAAAGAGCTCTGCTTGAGTCTGTGACTTCTCCTCCATGTCTCCCGCAGATGAATGTGGAATTGTCGCTCAGATTTCTGAGCCCTTGGCTGCTGCTGACATCCCGGCCTATTACATCAGTACTTTTAAGTTTGATCACGCATTGGTAAGTAGCCTGGTAGCTCTGCTGGGGTATTGGGGAGGTGGCATCTTTCCCCATCGGAAAAATGAGCATTGTCCTATCTTGTTACAGCTGCTTGCCGGAGGGTTTTGTACAGTATAGCCAAAAGCTTGGGGGGCAGATATCATTTTTTAGCCCCTCTTGTTGCAGACGTGCACTGAATTTAGAGAGCTTCAAGCAGCCTAACAGAGGGGACAGTGCATTGAGGGCTAAGTGCTGGGGTGGGGTGTCTGTGTGTGAGGAGGGAGGGTGGACAGTAGGCATATGGATTGAAAGGTGTTGCTAGTCCATTTTCACTTCTCCCATTTGCAGCAGCTCCCATATTGTCACTCGTTATCACCCCCCTCCTCCTTTTTTTTTTGCATTACATTATGAGCCGTGCCTTGACTGCTGCTGCTCAGTGTCAAGTAGCCAGAACCACAAACCCTGTAAACACACAAGCGACAGACGACAGGCAGCTGGACTGTAGTTCCCCCAGGCCAGCCTATGCATGTACCCAACTGTGAATGTCTTTTGTCTCAATTCTTGCAAACGCGGTGTAGTGCTGAGAGTAGTTTTGTCTTGCCAGTGATACAGGTCCAACCCCACTGTCTCTGCACATACAAACAGCTCTGATCTTAGTCTGTTGTGCCCCTGCCTCTGGGGTTTTCAGCGCTCCCTTGTTCTTGGAAAAGCCTACACCATGGCGCTTCCTCTGCAGCCACAAACAGCATCCCTGTAGCACTGCAGGATCGGGAAGGTCGGTGTTGGAACATGAACCATAGAGGACACTGATCTGCCCACGTGCTTTGCCTATTTAGAAACAATCCTCTCCTGAGGTCTCAAAGTGCTTGAAAGCCTTTTGTGTTTTTTGCCACAACTCTTATGTTCCAGGCTGCATTTAGGGGAAGTACCCCACTGCTTTACACCCCACCCCCTCCCAGCCTAGTTGCTCCATCTCCGATCCGCTTTGTGGAAGTGTTCGCACACAGCATCCCGACTAAAGAAGTTTTAGCACAGCTCTGTCTACACACTCTCAGGTGGGCCAGGCCAGTAGCATAACCTAATGGGGTGCAGCAGCCTCAGGTGTCAACTTGAAGGGAGCAGCATGCAAAAAATAACAGCTGTCACGGCTGCTGGCTGGTCAGCACAAAACTGCCCCGTTCCACCTCATTTTTCATAACATCACTACACACTTGGTTCCCTGGCCTGACTTGTGACTTGCTAACAGCTCAGATTTTTTTTTTATTTTTTTTTTTAACAAAAAAGCCAATTACTTTACATGTTTGCAGTTGACAGGTACCATTTACAGCCCATAAGGCCTTTGTGTGCAGAACATTGTTCCAGACGGGGAAGGTCAGGGTGCTGTATAGATGATAAGCTAAGCCAAGAAGCTGGAAGTCAGGAAGTGGCTCTGGGTAGTAATTTTGCTGGGTGCGATATGCAAAGCGCTGAAGTGTAAATAGAAATCCAGTTATGCTTTGGCAACCAAATTGCAAAAAACCTAGCAATGCCTTTTATTAGGCCAGCTGAAAGGGATATTAGGCAAGCTTTTGGGCACAAAACCACCCATCCTCAGGTCTGGGAAAGGGGCAGAGGCTGGCAAAGGTAAATTGAGTGATAACTTTTGAGTAATGCTATGCTGTAAGTTGCTTGCTAAAGCAGAAGGAGGACTGTAAGATGGGAGTGAAGAGCAAGGGGAGGTAGATGAATCACATAAAGCCATTGAAAAAGGAATAGGGATATGGTTACCATTAAAGTACAGAGCAATTAGGAGAGGTGCATTGTAATGAGACGCAGAACTCTTCCCTGTGTTTAGTCCATGGTTTTTAGTGACCAGTCAAGTTACGACTCTGTTTGCAACCCCAGCTTCCACAGCTAGTTGGGTAGGTTTTCCTTGAGTACAAGAATAGAGATGAAAAAGCGGGTCAGTCAGAAGCAGTCTCCGACTGGAGACTGGGTGTCTCTGTCCTTTAGAAAACCTTGCTATTTCAGGACATACTGGGTGGATGCAGCTGGTGACGTTAGTTTACTGCAGTCATCTTGACCAAGCTAGGCCGTTCTCCCTACTGTTAAGCTCAGTTTGATAGCTTGCAGGATTATGAAAGTCTCCACGGTAAGTGTAGTTGTGAGAACTTAACATTTAAGGCTTTGAGCTACTGTGCGTGTATTCAACAAGCCCAAGGTGAGCCTTTGGAGACCAAATAGTGTGGTGCGCACTGTCTACCTAACATATGGAATGGGTGATGGGAAGTATATAATGGGTTACTGTTAAAACCTAGGATGCAGCTATTTGTGTAGAGCTATAGTGCGTGAAGATAGGCTCACCTGGCAATCCAGAGTTTGGGCAGAAGAGGGTGCTAGTCAGATGTGTTAAGTGGAAGATTGAAAGGAGGAAAAGGTTTAGCATTAACGTTCGAGGAGAAAAGAAACCTGAACAAAGTAGGAGAGAGATGAATGTACAAACAATTTGCAAACAGCAGAGCACAGACAGATGAAATAGAGAAGCTAGGAAAGAGGGCTGGCTGAAGTGCCAGGTGCTGGGAAGCTATAACCAACTGCGAACTTCTGAAATACAGCCAGAGCTTCCTTAGTTCATTGCACCTGGCCAGACCCACTGTGACCTGAATTGGAAGTCCAGCTTTGCTCATTATCTATCATACTAGTTCCCGTCTGAGTAGGGATCCTGGTTTTCTCTGTTTAAAAATCCCAAATTCACTATTAAAATGAAACACCATATATATAACATATAAAAGAAGAGCCATAAATTCTGATTTTTATAAAAGCCATAAATTCTCCGATTTTAAAAAACCAAAATGAGCATTTTTCCATGATGAAAATGAAATGCCACTATATATAGTGCACTATATATAGTGGCATTTTATTTTTATTGTGGAAAAATGCTCATTTTGTTTGTTTTTTTAAATCAGAGAGTTTACAACTCTTTTTTTTTTAAATTAGTGAATTTGCAATTTTTGAACTGAGAGAACCAGGATTCCTGTTTATGACAAATTCAGCTCTGTATACAGGACAAGGTATATATAGGTATCAGTTGAACACAATGTTTTATTGATACATTGACAATTTTAAAGCAATTTGGAAACCTACCAGTGCCTCAAATCACTATAATAAATTCTAAATTCCTGTAATTTTTTTTTTTTTTTAAATAATGGAAAATCAGAGCTCCTCCACCCCCCTTCGCTCACCAGGATGCAGGTCCAGCTGCAGCTGCCACCTCCCCCCACCAGCTTTGTGGCACTGAGCAGCAAAATATGCCAGGTCAAACACAAGCCACAGCCCCACCAGTGCCCCTCACTTCTGACTCACAGGTCCCTGGCCCTGCTGCTGGTGCCCCAAGTCCCAACCCACAGCTCTGCCAGTTTTCTGCACTCCTGACTTGCTGCCCCCAGCCAATGTGTGGGGGCATGGACAAAATGGCAGGGGGGGGGCACTTGCCCCCCCAATTTCTGTGCCTGCAGCGGGGCATGGGGCTGCAGCTGGGCTAGACAAGCTCAGGGTAGAAGCTACCTCTGTGGCCCAGCAGGTGGAAGCAGCACAGGAGGGAGCGCTATGCCACCATGGGCGAAACACCCAACAGCAGCAAGGGGCCACTGTACCTCACCTTTAAAGGAGAAAATCCACATTTTTCCATGGCGAACAGAAAAGGGTGGATCCCTGCTGTTCACTCTTTGGATCTTGTACTAAGCAATGTGACACCCAGGGGAACCCTACTCGCTCCCTCCTTGGGCCTTGTACTGGTGACATCAGGAGAATGCTATAGAGCTTGTTCACTCAAACTCCTCTTCCAGCTATGAAGAAGCAAGTTATGTGTCTGTCTAAAGAGGATGGTTCTCACCCTGTCTTTTTTTGGTTTTCTGCAGGTACCTGAAGAAAATATAAATGGCGTAATCAATGCACTCCAAGTCAGTCAAGCTGGAAAGCATTAAAAATCTTCTGAGCTGGTTCCAGATGCTTTTTCTATTGTAATAATATTATGGTTATTCCTTTTTTCTCACAGTATTCTTGGATAATCTGATTCTGGAGAGGTTGAAGTGAAAAAAAAAAAAAGACATGAGCATAAACAGCTCTTTTTAAGAATTGCTGAACTTAGAGCCCTGCTGTTCAGTTCCAAAGCAAAAAAACATAACCTTGCTGGTGTGAGAGGAATTGCCCAGACAGGCAGATTGTGTGTGCTGCAGCTTTAGCAAGAGCTTCTCCAGAGGAACTGGGGTGGAAGGGCTGGTTTCTTTGTGGAGAGTGTAAAGAAATAAGGAAATAAAGGAAAAAAAAAAACCCCAAAAAAACAGAATACAGCAGTCCTCTCTGTCTTTAAAACTGTATGTGCTTGGAAGTCGTATGAACCAGCCTCCCACAGCTGCAGTGAAGTGTCCAACAGCCGAGAGTCCCTTCCCTGCTCCAGGTTTTCTAGAAGAGGAATAAAATGCTTGCAGCAAGGACGGGTTAGATTATCTTTATTCGCTCTGCACCAGTTCCATTAGATCCATGATTTCACCAGAGTTACCATGTGATCCACTCCACATGCCACGGCCACCACCTCCCCAGGTATCGTCACCTAGGAGAAAAAAAATAGAACCAGTAAGTTCAGTACTGCTGCCAATGCTGCCTCAGTGAAGAGGTGTGCACTTATTCTGTAATGCCATCATGAATCAAACCAATTACTTACACCATGGATTACCATGAAGTGGAGCAGGTTGCCTGATCCTTTTTAAGTACATGCTGTGTAAAAATATACACATATACACACTCCCTGTTGGTTTTAAGTACATGCCCCTGACGATAATCGGTAAGTGCCCCTCCTATGTTCTGGGACTTGGTGGTGAATAGGTTCCCTATTCACTTTTCCTATGCCCTTCATGATTTTGCAGATCTCTACCTTCTCCTGTTGAAAATGTGTCTCAGTAGGAGGAACAGCAAGGATAGCAACTTACATGATACTGATCATGCAATGAAGAGCTCTTATGGCATAAATGCAGTCTTTAATAAATGCAACTACTTTGCTGTTCCTTAGGGGGCAAGAACAGGTGACCCTAATGGGAAGAAAGGACAGAAAGTGCAGCAAGAGGCTAGCCAGGCACAAGACTAGTTGAAGAGAGTTTGAACTCAAAAAAAAAAAGGAAGAGCATTCCCCCTTGACTGTATTTTCCAAGTATGCCAGGTAAAGAGGAATAACAAGGAAAGAAAGGTTTAATTAAAAAGAGGTACTGAGGTCAGCTACCAACTGACAGCAAGGATAGGGAAGGTGATAAGTAGCCTATAGTTCAGGGAATTGGCTACTACCTTTGAGATCATGGAAAGGTCAGGTGAGGTCTCTGATAATGGTAAACACGCTGCCCAGGCTTAAAGGAAGGCAGGAATAAGCTGGGAAGTTCCAGACCAGCCAGTCTGAGCTTGATACCTGGGGTTGGAGCACGGCATCATGAACTACTTCAAAGCACAAGAAGAGATACGCCTCTACCTTAGCAAGGCTCTTGCCAGCATCTCCATGGTCATCTAGATAGATACATGACTGCTCTTACCCCTGGCTCAGTGCCCACATGAAGTAATTGCCTCTTCCTGCCCTCATTACTGCTTTGCAGGTTATTATATGCTATTCCCTGTGGCCAAGGAGCAATGGTCTCAAATTCCAAGAAGGGGACTACAGGGTGGTTAGGCATTGGAACAGCTTACCCAGAGGCTGTGGAATCTCCATCCTAGGAAGGCTGAGGGTAGGCAAAACCCATCGCTCAGAGCAGGATGTTTGAACTAGGGCCCAATTCAGCTGACCAGGTCTCACTGACACTTACCCTCCAGGGAAAATACTGGTCTTCCATTCTTCCAATTCCCAAGCACCCTCTTATATTCTTGCCCCAGACAAACAACTCTCCTCTCTCTGCAACAAGAGAAACAAAGACAGCCTCAGTAAGCAGTGCCAAGCTACAGCCTTGTAAATAAGCACCAAATTGCTAAGAGCCAACCTTTTTGTCTAAGCTCATCACAGCTATTTTCTCCTCACCTCATTAGGGCCAACTGCACATTCAGACTCTTACCATTAAGTGCCGCAAACTGGCTGAGTCCACAGCAAAGGTGCTTAACACGAACATCTGATGAGCCAAAGAGAGTGGGAGGGATCATCTCTGGAGTTGCTGTTTCCAGAAGGTTCGGTCCTTTCCCAAGGATTCCATATCCCCACACAAAGACATTTCCTTCCTCTGCATGACAAATGCACACAACACTTCCATCAGCTGCCGAGTCTTGAGGAGTTGTATTTCACCAGAGGTGATGGACTCAGATACATTCTTCCCTCCTAGGTTTTGCACACCCATTTGCAATACATGGGGCCTGTACGCACCCCATCACTTCTACCTCACAGCACATTCACTTCCAGTGGGGGCACGTAACTGGAGGATTTCTTTAGAGATACTCACCATTCAGAACAGCATTGCCGGTCCCTCCGCACGCAGCCTCCTTTACCTTCCCAATCTTGAATGGTAAGTGCCTGGGGACATTCACCTTTTTTTAAGAAATGCATTATGGCTTGAGACACAGAGCTACTTTAAAAGGGGTTTGCTCAGGTTGTAGGGCAAAAAGAACAAGATACACAACACTCTGAAAGAGCTTTGACTACTGTTTGTGACATCAGAAAACCTGGCCCTCTGAGCTTTGAGGAATGATATGGAGCCAAGCCCAGATGCCACAACTTTTCAGTATGGGACCTTACTTACAGAGTGGCACCAATTTGACAGTCTGCCCTTTGTTCTCCCCATGAAGCAGAGATGTCTTTTAATAGTGGACAGCACACATTTCAGCAATTAACAAAATAGATCAGGTGCTTCTCTCCCACAACATGTACGGTCAAGTCAGCACCTGGCACGAGGGGTATACCGATAATTTCCCACCAGGTAAATCGGTGAATACAGATCTGATATCAGATTTACAGGAATGCAGCTGGGCAGCATGGAGAGCAGTGCCCTGCAGGTAAGTCTGTGGAGGGGAAGGGCTGGGAGCAGGAAGGGAGAAGGGGGCACAGATCGAGGCACCCATGGTGAGGGAGGGAATGGGACAGGGGCTGGGGCAGCGATGAATGCGACCCCAGGGCCAGGGTGGCTCCTCTAGCAGATCAGTGTCCTGGTGCTTAAAAATGGCAGCAGGGGCACTTGAACTACAGCTTGTCTAATGAGCTTTCATTCAAGTGCCAACACCACCATTTTTAAGCATGGGGATGCTTTTAGAAGCAGAGCTGAGCAGGACAAAGAGGAGGCAGGCTGCCCACTGCAGGCTCTGGGCTCTCCACTTTGTCCTACCACCACCGGGCAAGCTCTTGGCGCAGAGCTACCAGAAAAAGGCAGCAGGGCAGAGAGCCCTGAGCCCACAATGGGCAGCCTGCCTCCACCATACGCACAGGACTTGGGTGGGGGGGGAGGAGGAAAGGAAGCACATGCCCCCCATGCCTTCCTCAGGCGGGCACACAGCAGCCACCCCTCCACCCCACGCACTCACCCCCCACACTGCCTGGATGAGCCACCCACAGCTCCATTCCTCTCCCCACCCCCGAGTCCCATTCACTGCCCTGGCTGGGCAGTGCCCCCAGCCCCTACCCCACTCCCTCCCTCACCATGGGGGCCTTGATCTGCCCCCCCTTCACACTCCTTCCCCTCCACAGATTTACCTGCAGGGTGCTTGCTCTCCACACTGCCCAGCTATGCTCCTTGCTGTGTGCATGCTGTGGCAGCGCACACGCACGTGGCATATTTATTGGTACATTATCAGCTAACACCAGCCAAAAAAAGCCAATAGCAGATAGCATTACTTTTCCCTTTATCAGTCCAATATGGACTTTTGCTTTCAGCTATTCTGAATTAACCTCAGGCTCCCTTACTACATCCATTCATTTCTGGTGCTTCTTGCTAAATCGCTACACAGCTTGAAACAGTATTTTTATCCGAGTCCAAGTCTCTTAAGTTTCATCTCCTTACTTTTCCCATTTGGGTCTCAAAAATGGAACACCGAAGTATTTAACAGTATTAAGTCACCTAATGGGGTGGGCAATTAGCCAGCACTGTCATGAAGATTTCTGCAATACATGAAATGCCTTGGTCCCTTACCTGCTTCCAAAAGGGACTAGGATCTAAAGAAACAAACAGTAACTTAACCTAGAGGATAGGAAGGAAGGGAACTTTTGCTAGAGACACGAGACCAAATGAGACGCTCTATTGCTTGCTTGAGAAAAATCAGAACTGTATGGCAGATAGAGGGGTGGCCACAGCATCTACAGAAATGACTTTGGGCTCATGAAGGCTTGTGCCACCTCATAGGCTAACTAAATTAGAGATAAATGGCATATCTACCCTGCCTTCTGCCCAACTTCAGGCTAACACAGCTAATTGCCTCTCTCTGCTCATGAAATAATTGCCAGAATCCAACCCTCCCCACAAAAAAAAAAAATTCCAGAATCCAACCCCCCCCACAAAAAAAAAAAAACACCTCACAAACATGTACAGCAACAGGTCTGTCCCAAGATCTCTTTGGAAAGACTTTCAGCACATGGAACCATAATCAACAACATGCCAGTCTGTTACTGGGAGGAAAATTATGCCATCCCATAGCTCAGTACTGCATCCACATACCCCAAGACATAGCAGGGGGTGACTGGTGGACACGTGTCCCTTTAGCCGTATGCAATATAAAGAAAAGAAAATTCCTAAACAGACCTGTGTTGTCTCCGTGACGCATGCTAGTTGCAGGTATTCTGAGTTTCCCCAGCCGAAGATGTCTCCTTCATCAGAAACAGCCAGACAGCAATCAGCGTAGGAGGCAACCTGAATAATGTTGACCCCAGCAACATCTCCACCTAGCTTAGTGGGAACACTGGTAACATTGTAGTGGCCTAGACCTGGCAAAGAAACAGACAGTCTGGAATGATGTGCTGCCCTCCTGCAGATCAGAACAAAGCCAGAAACCACACTGGGCAATGCTAAACTAACAGAAGTCACTCAAATCACACTTTCAAAGCTCTAACTAGAAGTCTAAGCAGACAAAACACCAGCTCTAATTGTGCACAGGTTAGGAAACCACTTGGCCTCATTACCAGGATCAGTTAGGTGCACTCCATCAGGAAACATCCTGGCAGAAAAAAAGCGTAGTTGAAGGTAGGAACCTAGTGCCCTGTAGTGTTACCATAGGTAGTGCAAAAGCCCATCAGATGTCCTGCAGGAGTTACAAGTGCAAACTTGCTGGCTGTGGTGCCAATAAAGCCAATTAAAATAAGACTGGCAACCTTCACAGTCAGGGGTGTCCAGACTGATCTTCCAAGGTCCCTTCTGGCTTTACAATCTATGAATCTGAACTACTATATCCATTTTACTTTGGCCAGGCTCTGATCACCTCCAAAATTTCCATCTACTCTGCAAAAATAGCAGCAATTTTTCAAGGTACTGAAGTTCACAGTGATGTCCATTATAGTATATCACGTGTTTTGTTAGAGCCATTGTGAACCGTGTTCCAAACCACTCCAGCACCCAGACTAAGGCTATTCCTAAAGCTGTGATTCTAGTCTCCAGGCAAATTAATGTTTTGTACGAGGTGTCTTTCAGCCAGTCCAGCAAGAACTGTATAGTACAGCCACACTGGAGGATGAGGAAGAAGCAGGGAAGGGGCAGGGTAAAACTTAGACAATATTCTGGGCAGCTTTATGAGGAGGAACAAGCAAAGAGGGCCTCAACCAAAACTCTGACCCAAGGGCAGGATGAGTCATCAGGAATTGAAGCAGACACAGTGTAAAAGCAACAGAGGGCACTCACCCACCCCCCAGAGAAGAGCAAAATCAAGGTTTGGTGTTTTACCACAAGATGCTTCTCATTTTTATTCCCAGCACCTGTCCCATAATCAAGGCTTAAGAGATGCATCTTCACTCCACTATGCAAGAACACACAGCTCAGAACGC